AAGTATCTGTCATCGTCGAGAGCCGCTTGCCCAGCCGGAGTAGATATGCAGCGTCTGCATGATGAGCCTCAGATGGGAAGTGGCACCACTGCGTCGTGTTGCTTATTGGAGTATAGTCTGTGTACTGCTACAAAATCAACTTCTGCGAGTCCAAGTCGCCAGTGAGCAGCAATCATCGGTCACCACGGCCTGCGTTGAAGTATTGAGGTTATCATTCCCTGGATGACTGACTGCAGTCGGGGCCTCACTGAATCACGGGTCCTCCTCGCTGGGCACTTCTGTAGGGACCGGAGCCTGAGTTCACTCTGTAGACTCACATTGCATGCACATGTATTCTAGAAGCATGGTTCAGCTTAGCAGCGGGAGACACCGGCGAAGTTGGGGCGGCTTCGAATTCGGTCGGGAGGCGGCTTGTGGTCGGGATAGGACTGAAAGGGCTCCGCTGCGACGTGGCCAACAGCTGCTGCCGAAGTGCGGTTCTGATCAGCTCCTGGCAGGCTGATCGCAAAGTAAGATTAAGGCTTTGCGCAACCTAGAAAAGCACTAACAGCCAACGAGACTAAGTCGCGCGAATGTTGCTTGTGATGGTGGTGATGCTGTGGTGCTGCTGAGGAGGACGATGAAAAGAACGCGGATGATGCCAGTGAGGATGAGGAGGAGACGTTGATGATGATCATTGTGCAACAAAACCCACCTCCTCAAACTCCGCTGTCTCCAGCGAAGCGCGGAGGCTCTGGATCTCCAGAGCCTCCACACGAAACACGAATCGAGGCGCCTGAGACATTAGAGCACTGGTGTGGGACCGCCTGTTCAGCCTGGAAGTCAGCCGCAGTTCTCTCCGTGGCCTCCAACGAAATCCATCGTATTCAATTGTCGCCTAAAGGAAGACCCCACATCCAGCCTTCATTTCTTGGGAAGCTGTTTCAGCGCGGAGCTGCGAGCGCAATGCTGCGTCCTGATGTGGGTCGGGGCAAACCCCTCTGCCAGCCAGCGCTGTTCGCCCTCTCTCTCCCTCTCTGCCTCAAGGAAGTCCCGAGAGAGCTGCAAAGCTTGTGCCCGCTCATGGAGAGAACGTGTCCGTTCCTGGCATGGGGTTTGCTTCAATTGGGCTCCTTTCTCAGAGTGCACAAATGGTCTGACTGAGCTGGCCAGAACGTTCAGGTCGAAAGTCAGCTGGAGGTCCTGTCGAATAGCAGCTTTCGTGACTCTTAGTAAGTCCCGGAACACTTCAGACCGCCCCACCTGCAGCTCCGCCAATCGCTCCTCAGTTACATCAGTATCTCGACCACAAGCCCTGCTTTGAATTTGGGTCGCACTGGAAGCCCACCTGATCTTCCCGGGAGGTCTGGACCTCCTCTTCAAGCTTGATCTTCGTCGCCTGTTCATGTGCATGTTGAAAACCTCTGAGGTAAAGCCCTGCCCTAAACCTTGAACCCCACCAGCAGGTCCACGGTATGATGCTCCATCTCCTGGACGGACTCCTCGATCCTCGCCATTGTGGCGATTCTGCTCTCTTGAGCTTCCTCCATCCCTCGGAGTCTCTTGTCCTCCGTGGATTTGCTAGGTCTTCTTTCTCAGGGCACTAGCAGAACCCGACCTTCTCCGCCAACTCTTCTTTCAGCAGCCGTAGATGGTCCTGCGCTGTCTCTGGCTGGGTCGCTCTTGGCTTCACTCAAGAGGCCACACCCGGCCTCATGCTCGGCTCTAAGGGCCTGGTGCTCATTGCGGCGCCGCTGGTTCGCTTCCAGCAGCCGCGCCTGATTGTGTGTTGTAGCTTGTCCAGTAGGATTGTTGCGGAGCGCTTAAGCTCCCGTCCTTGTCGGAGCGGAGAACGGCGGCGTCTCGGTCGAGCTGCCGGAACGACTGCAATTCCTGAGAGAGCTTTGGGTTCCGAATCGCTGCAAGTCACTCACACTCCCACTGCTGCTTAGTTGCTGTTCTCATCTGGGCTCCGCTTGCCTCGATCTCGCGCTGAAGAGCCCGCAACTCGGTTGTCTTCTCCTGTGCACGGATCCTTCAGCTCAATACGTACCGCAACTTACCCGGTTCCTGCCTCGTCCTTCGCCGCCGTCCGCTTCACCTCTTCGTGGAAGCTCTTCTGGGCCGTCGCTGCGCTCGCCTTCAGCATGGTGCCGGGTGCTTGAGAAGGGGAAATGGAGAATCCAGTGGCCTCCATTCGCTTCACCTCTTCGTGGAAGCTCACCTGCACATGTTGTTCAGCACGGAAGCTTTATCTAAGAGAATCTGAGCGCCTCCTGCATGGACAGAAGCTTCTTCATGCTCTCCTTGGCTTCGAGGGCCGCCTCCTCCAGGATTGCTTCATTTTTCTGGGATGTTTGTCGTCGAGTCTTGCTAAGCCAGATCGATCAGCTCCAAACGGTTTCTCCTAGCCTTCTCGCAGTTGGCTGTCCGATATTCCGCCAGGTTCCCGACCCGGTAGGCCTCAGTTTACACATCTCGGAATACAGCAGATAAATTGTCGCCATTGCTGAGTGTCCGACATCTGTTCGCATAAGCAACTGCTGCGTTTGCTCATGGCTGCGTGCCTCTGCTGTGTCTGTGTCTTTCCCAATCGCTGTTCCTCTGAAATCCAAGAGGTCTGCCCGCCTCGGACACCTCGTAGGCTCGCAGATTTGCCACTTTCGCCTGGTGTCTTGCTTGCTTGCTTGCTTGCACAATCTCTCTTTCTCTCTCCCTCCCTCCCAGCCTCTGCATCGCGCTCTTCGAGCTTGTACTTTGATGCTTCGGCCTGGCATGTGAATCGTTCTCCCCGCCCCTGCCGCTTCTTCCTAGCGTCGCTTTATCCTCTCCTACCCGTCTTCTGTCTGTGTCTCCCTCGCCCTCCCCTTGGCATGCGAATGCAAGCCAGCTCTGCCTTGGCCTGCTCGGTCGCCTGTGTTTGCTCCTTCAGCTTGTTCAGGAGCTTTTGGTTCCTGGAGTCTCCGGCTGCTGCGGCTTGCCCAGAGGGAGTCGCCCTCTTGCGCTGGTTTTCTTCTTTCTTGTCCACCCATTTTTGGTGGTACTTGTTGTAGGAGTAGTCGGAGTAGCCATCCGACCAGCCCTGCCCTGAGCCGCTGCTTCCACCGCTCATTGCTTTTTTTTTCTGCTGGTGCTAGTGCTGCCTGTCTCCCTGCTGGTGTGCTGGTGCTCGTGCTGGTGCCTGTGCTGGTGCCCGTGCTGGTGCCTGTGCTGCTGCCCCTGCTGGTGCCCGTGCTGCTGCTCGTCTAAGTTCCTATGTGCTGCTCATGATCATGCTGCTGCTGCTGCCCTTCGGTCAGATCCTGCCATGTTGCAATGGACCCTGCGGGGCTGCGGAATGTTGCGCGGAACGACTGCTTCTTCACACAACATGAAGCCCAGCCAAAGCCACTTCACATGTGGAGAGACAGTGACGCTTCGCTGAGGTCTCGGACCAGTTCCGCAACGATGCCGGCGCAAGGTGCCAGCCTGGGCACACTTCAGATCTCAAACCGTTCTGTAGTCAGGGCTTGGCACAGGGTCCAGGCATGTGGGTTTCCGCAAATGCACAGCGAGGTCGAAGTCAGTTTCCCACACAGACCAGCCTTGCTATGACCCCCTCTTGACATGTTGTGTGCTGGAAAACCACTAGAAACAAGACTTCGGAAGTGCCGGTTCCGAAACCGGGTTGGTTTCGGAAGTGCCCTTCGGAAGTGGTGCAGAAGTGAGGGGTCACAGGAAGCCCAGAGAAGTTCTACAGAAACCGACACGTTAATCTCTGGCAAGGCAGGATCTGATGTGGCGCTTCGCAAACGGCGCTGATCCAGGCAGAAGGGCAGACACGAAGTTTAATTAAGAGACGACACCGTCAGGCTCGGTGTCAGCCAACGAAGCCCTTCCCACATGTTTTTCTCAGACTTGCTCCAGGCTGTCGTGAAACCGTAGGATCTGAGACGCTGTCGCACTGACATTCTAGAACTCTCAACTTTGGAGTTTGCTCCAGGCCCTAGACAGCTCCTGGGCTTAAGGGGACGTGGAGATCACTATTCAGAGATGCCAAGCTCGGGGACCATTAGGGTTCCTAGTGTCCGGTTTGGGGTTTGTCCTTGAAGGGCTCATGTTTTATCGTGCAAACAAGAAGTCTGAACCTGAACCCCATATTGAACCGTCCTCACGGAACGTAAGTAACACTGTCACCAGACCCTGAAGACGGTAACTCAGCGTCAGCAAGATAACTGCCACAAAGGGGCGAAGGCACCCTCGACCGCTAAAACCAGGGACCGGTGCAGTTGGAGCCTGTACCCCTTGTCTCCCCTCGCCAGGAGCTGCCATTTCAGAGCACAGTTCCAGTTTTGTAGGTCTCGCCCAGAAAGCCATGCCCAGTCGCGTCCGGAAGCTTGAACCCTGCAAGAGCAGCAAGAATACAGTGCGCCGCACTGATCATGGGAAGCACTTGCCATCCTCAGGTGGATGTTGGATGTTCGTGCGCAGCGCCCCTCCGTGGAGTACGTGAAGATAAAGGCCTCCGATCGTCTGTCCTTGGGTGCGGTGAGACACCATGTGGCCGTGAGGTTGTTCTGCATGGAACGTCCACAGATATTGGTTGGATTCCTTCTCCACTGCTGTATGCTAGGATGTGTGACTTGGAGAGCCTTGTTAGAACAGCGAACGACGAGCTAATCTGTGTTTTCGAGGAACTGTACAGTCGAGGGTTCCTCGTGGAGTACGAAGATGTAGAGTGCGATGATGCGTCGGATGCTGAGCCTCCAACGGACAGGGCGGGCGGCCGGCGTTCCAAGTCTATGTGACAACATGTAAGGGCCATCTTCAGAGAAAACAGAAGAGAATCCTAGTGGCTGCCTCGTCGCTGCTCAGAAGTTGATAGATGCAATTGCAAGCCCAGCTCTTCATGCGCTGTGTGCCGCGAGCGACATGGTCCCAGTAGGCGACATATGCTGTGTACGTGTGATGCAAATCTTTCACGGCTCAGGGCTACTCCTCCCTCCGGGTTTGAGGTTAGCAGTTAGTGGTGAAGCCACGCAATGATTCCTGGCTTTACGTGTCGATTGCCTGACGAGACGCAGTCAAGTGCAGTCGCGGCAAAGACCAGGAGTGTTCCAAAAAATGCTCCCGCCGAGGAAGCAAGCAGCAGCAATGTGATCGATGCGGACGCCGCGCACTGGGCGGCCTGCAAGGTGAAGGGCTGTGCCCGCTGTGTTTTCATACGGAACCGCCAGGAATGGGAGGCTAAGCTGCCCATGGGAGACCTGGGAGTATCGTGGCTGCACGGCTATCTTGATAGGGACGACGGTCTGTTCAAGCTAAAGTGCCGAGCCTGTGAGAAAACCAAGCAGACGAACCGCTTTGCCAGTGGCGTTGTCACGACTTTGTTCGGCAACCTCAGCCGCCACCACGGCTGCAGCCAACATCAGAGCGCGCTAGCTTCTATGGGCCTATGCCCGGAAAGGGACGAGGTGCCCGCGCCAGCGGCCGCGGATTTTCAGCGGGTGGCCGAGAATCGATTGAAAGGGACAGCCTTGAGGCACGGCATCAAGGGACTGGGTGGCCAACATAAGACGACTTCCATGGAGATTGCGCTGGGGCAAGCCATGTTCGAGATCGACCGAGCCTTCCTGGCCGACGCGACCAGCGTGGCGATTTTTGCGGATGCCCGTCAGCACATGTTGCTTCTGCGGTTCCGGGCTTGCAACGATGAACTCATCACTCGGCGAGGCCTTCTCGGGTATCGTAGTTTGGGCACATCCAGCGGCGCCTCTGGCCTTCAAGATTGCATAGAGGGCATGCTGGAAGATTTCTGCACCGGCTTAGATGGTGTTCTGAATACGGCACTCCTCACGCACCTGCGGGCCAGCGTCGAGATGTACGTGGCAGATGCTGCGTCGGATGAGCAGCTGACGGGCCAGCTCCTCCGCTCGCAGCGGTACTTTCAGAATTTGCGATTCGTGTCCAAAGACCGAGCTCACGCATCGCAAAGGCTGGCTGCTGAGTCTGTAGGTTAAGGCCGCATCTCAAAAATCATGGGTATGAAGCAAAGGGCTAGTAGTAGTAGTAGTAGTACTAGCAGTAGTAGTAGTAGTAGTAGCAGTAGTAGTAGCAGTAGTAGTAGTAGTAGTAGTAGTAGTAGCAGTCGTCTGCAGTAATCGTAGCTGTGCTACTACGGCTCCTAGTAATACTGTATGTTGTGTTCGTCCTCCCAGCCGTAGTGGTGGCAGTGGTGATAGCACATCTGTGCTGGTGATATAGCTCCGTGTCGATTCGGTCTATGCTGTTGCTGCGGCCCTGCCAGGTTGTTAAGCAGGCCGTGGCATGCCAGCGCGACTCTGCGTGACATCCTGGACAAGTTCGCTATTGGCTCCGAGTCTATTGCACACAAGGTCCAGTATTCGCCTCACATCAGCCAAGTATTCCAGGCCTTTTGCAAGGAGTCATCGAAGTGCCCGGTCAGCGCGACTCAGATTCGCAATTTGGGGCACGCGAAACACCGCTTCAGCAGCTTATCTAAGCCGCTGGGGAGAGCAGTGCTGCACGTGGACAGCCTTCTAAAGACGGCGATCTGGCTCACGGTTCACCGCAGCCAGAAACTCGAAGGCCAGCAGGCCGCGGACTTTCTGGAGCACATGCACGAAAGGGAGTATTTGTTGGCAGCATTGCTGGCTGACGCCAGCGACGAAAGCGTGCGTCTGCTGCGTGTCTTTGACACGGAGTCATACGACCTGGCGGTGGTGGCCACGGAGCTCCAGGTCTATATGTCGCGGCTCCACTTCCTTTTCAACGAGGAGCTGCCGTAGCAGCAGCAGGGTAATGTTAGGCTTTGCAGTTGTACTGAGTAAAGAAATCGAACCCGGAAGCTTCTGCAGGACGGCGTGTACAAGATTCCCGGGTACACGTCCCACATGGTGAGCTTTCTGGAGACTTCGCACGGGTACGTGGTGAACAGCCGGGCGTTCAGTCTTGGAGGCCCTGGCCGCATCAGCCCAGCGCTGAAGGCCGAGTGCAGGAAGCACTTGCAGGTGTGGATCCGGTTGCTGGGCGAGGTCCTTGCCTCTGAGTTTCCGGGCTGGGACGTGTTGAGTGCCTTCTCAGTCTTCGAGCTGAAACCTGCCGCAAGCCGCATGCAGGAGGACGAAGACGTGCAGCATGAAAGGACAGAGTTCCTGGCGAATTCTGCACAGCGACTGGCTCAGGTTTTTGACTTGAGTCTCGAAGACTTCGTTTCGGAGATGGAGGATCACCGGCCAATGGCGCAGCACCTGGTTGTCTCGCAGCAGGTTGACGCTTTTGCGGCTTGGAGCAGCGCACTGCGAAAGACGCAAAAGAGAAAGTCGATACGAGACAAGTATCCCTGCGCAAACTTGCTCCGTGCCTTGTGCAAGTACGGCACTTTTCAAGGAGCATCCACGGCCGGCGTGGAGCAGCTGTTTTCCCAGGTGGCCAAGCAAACAAGCCCTGCCAGGAAGCATATGAATCCAGATCTCTTGCTGTCAGAGGTGAAGATTTTCGCGGACTGGAATAAAACCGAGGCAGCCCACATCGCAGAGGTTGCTCAGGTTGCCTGGACCTTGCTAGGCAATGGCATGCCCCGTGACAGTAGCCAGACTGAGCGAATGGACAAGGGTGTCAAGCGCAACATAGTCGAGGACCGCGGGCTGCTAGGGAGGGGTCTGGGGCGACCTCTAGGTGGTTCTAAGCAAGTTCCTGTTTATAAGTGAGCAGACACATGCTGCTTCTTTGTTTGTGGAGGGCGAAAATATGTAACAGCAGTGCCTTCATAACTGCTCCGGACGAAATATTGTATTGCACGCCGCGCGGGGCTCGTGCTGCTTCCTATGCGTCACGGCTGCTCGAGCATTCGCCGTGTGCTTCTTTTTTGCTCGCATGAGTCGCCAGGACACGGAGGTCGCTTTCTTGGCCAAGAGGAACAAGGCTGTCAAAGCAGGGACCAAGCTGCGCAGAGTGGAATCGGTAGTGGATGCCGCAGCTGCTGCGGCCGATGCCATCATCCAGTGCGATGCCAGTCTCCAAGCGGAGATCCAGTTCCAACATGCGAAGCAGTATGCCAACAAATGCAACGCTTACTTGGAGAACACGCTGCTGGCCAGCGAGGTGCCTGAGGATCTGGGTGAAGTTGCTCTTGCCATGGCCCAGATTCGAGAAGGAAATCGGGCCAAGAAAGTTCGCCTGGAGGGCAGGCAGGCAGCACTCATGCATCCAACGGGGCTGGACTGGAGGTTCTCCACCGTTTGGTTCGAGGATGCAGAATGGCAAGAGCTCCTTCCTCTGGGCCTTCTTCACAATGTGGTGGCCGACATCAGCGAGGCCAATGTTTGGGTGGTGCTTGATGCGGCTTCCCCTCCTGAGGACATCCTTTGGACTGCTACCCTGCAAGGCGGCACTATCGTAGATGTTGTTTTCGCTGAGACCAATCGTCAGGGTGGTGTGGCCTTCCGGTATGACCAAGCTACCTTGATTCAGCGGCATATCCTTCTCTCCCCCGAATTCGACGCAGCAGAAAGACGCTTGGCAAGTCTGGTGCGAGCCGCAGCCCGCAAAGCGACCTCGAAGTGGACTCTCCTTCCTTCCTGGGAGGCATTCAGCGAGAAGTACGAGCAGATGGCTGGGCCGGATGTTGCAGCGAAGCGGCGACAGCCTATGCGAGTACTTGCCCTGGTGCCAGAGCCAATCGAGATCGCCATGTGCATGAAGAGTGTGCTCGGGAAAGCATCCCTTCTCGGCTTCTGTTCACGGTTTGCGTGTGCTCAGCGCGGTCTATGATACCATAGCTTGTCATCGGAGGCTTCTGCGATGCATGTATTCCAGTTATCGGACTCACGCCACCTGAGCGTTACGATATGCATGTACAAAGGTAAAGTCGGCCGGAGCTGGGATGAAGCTCACGAGTGTGTACAAAGGGAACGTCGGCCGGAGCTGGGATGAAGCTCAAAAGTTGCAGGACGCTCCGCACTCAAGTTGTCGAGGGTTCAGGGCTTGGGGTTTGCAGAGTTCCTTCAAGAGCTACTTAGAAGGCTATGCCGTCCATCCTGTGATCTAATTAAAATTACTCTGACAAAGGGATCTGCGTGGGGATGTCAGTTTTGAGCACATCGGCGGAACAATGTGAGGCTAGATTTTACCGCGGCTGCGACGGTCTGTGCGTGGCCGCAACTCCCCACTGCGAACTTCCAAGACCCTGAGGACTGTAAGCCCTGCTTTTGGTGACCTTCTTTGCGGAAACCCTGAAACACCGAAACCAAACCCTGGCGCCCCAAGTCCGAAGCCTTGAGCCTGGAAAACCCCTTTCCCCCATCCCTAAACCCTCTGGCCTCAACTGATGGCGACTATGCACGGCCGCAGGTTCCAACGCCCCCGCCGGTCGAGCTTCCACGTTTTTGGCATTGAGGGGGACTGGGAAATCATTATGCTTTTTCCTGCAACTATCCGGACCCGCAAGGGCGGTTCTGCGCTCACACAAAACATACCGCCTAAACCCTTGCTAAACCCCAGACGCTAAACCCTAGCAGCCCTAGACTGAACCCTGGACCAAAACCCTAAACCCTTGCTGAACCCTAGCAGCCGTCGACGCTGAAACACTGAACCCTGAGCCCTAAACCCTTGCAGAACCTTAGCAGCCCTAAACCCTGAGCCCTAAACCTTTGCAGAACCTTAGCAGCCCTAAACCCTGAGCCCTAAACCTTTGCAGAACCTTAGCAGCCCTAAACCCTGAGCCCTAAACCCTAAACCTTTGCAGCAACCTTAGCAGCCCTAAACCCTGAGCCCTAAACCCTTGCAGAACCTTAGCAGCCCTAAACCCTGAAGCCCTGCAAAACCCTGAGCAGAACCTTAGCAGCCCTAAACCCTGAGCCCTAAACCCTAGCAGCCCGAAGCCCTGAAACAGTGCACCCCAAACCCTGGCTAAGCCCCTGAACCCTAAGGACTCGCATAAAACAACAGAGCCCTTCCCTCTCGGAAGGCCGCCGCATCGGCCTTGAGCATGAGTTGGGAGGAGGGACTTTTGGGCAGCGATCTCTCAGGGTCTGTTGCTAGAACGCGCTTCTTCCCCCCAAATCCCCGCTACCATCCTGCGGAGCTCGGCAGCCAGGCCCAGGTGCCGCAGCGCTCCTTCCCGGGAGCGGCCTCGCCTCGCCCCGGAGCTCAAACGCTTTGCCAGGGTTGAAGGTTTGGGGTCTAGTGTTTCAGCTGCTTGGGTTTAGCAAAGCTTTCGGGTTTAGCGTCTAGTGTTTCAGCGTTCAGGGCTGCTAGAGTTTAGCAAGGGTTTAGGGTTCAGGGTTGAGGGTTCAGGGTTTAGCATTTAGGGCTGCCAGGGTTTTAGGGTTTCGGGGGTTACGGATTTGTGTGAGGGTTTCAGGGCTGTCTGCCTGTCCGGTTGTGTTTTCAAAGACTGGGGTCTGTGAGTGTTTCTGTGAAGTGTCGTTTCGACATGAACTTTCGGCTGAAGCTTTACCCCTGGTGCAGTTTGTTCTCCTTTTGGCGATGGCGGTTGCGAATGCGAATGCCGATTACCATGCAAGGGTGCTCGAGGACTTGAATGTGATCCGAGGGCATGCCGTATTCGCGGACATCCTCACGGAACAGCCGCTCTCCATGGCAGAAGCTGGTTTGGCGGGGACCAAGGCCGGGTCATTCCCTCTTATCAGTCGGGTCTCCTTACAACGGACCTAGGTACCTCGGTTTGCTGGTTCATTCCCGCCCTGGCCCTCATTCCCAGAATCCCAGACCCCAGTATGGAAGAGGAGCTTTGGAAGCAAAGGGTGTTCGCAGCCACATGCCCCATCAGACCGTAGACCCGGTGTCCGCCGGAAGGTAAGGGATGCAGGGTCCAGGCACGTAGTTCTAGCAAAGGGGTGTCGGCAGCCTTGTTGCAGGAACTGGGCCGGGCATCCGGGAACCCTACCCTTACAACAAACCCATGACCCAGCGTCTGTTGTAGGACACGGTTGCTGACACCCTCGCCTCTCATGCGGCAGGTGCCCTTCCAGGCATCAGCGTTCGGCCACGCCATGACCCATGCTGCAGAGTACCAGTGTGCGGGGAACATTTTCTGGATTGACTTCTTCTGGTCAGCGCAGCCCACGGTGGCTTTGAATCAGAGCTCGATCGACGTCATGAGAGATGATTTCTTCCGTACGCCCACGGCCTGGCCAGCTGAGCATCCCATTCGCATTGCCATCCCGTCTGGCTGCACTGCAGCTAAGTTGAAGAAGCTTCATGGCAGCATGCAGCGCTACAGCCCCGAGGAGGTCGAGCACGGCTTCCTTGCTGCAGTGGCTCGCGACATACGCGCCGGTGAGCCGGAAGCAACTTTGCAGTGGGGGCCTCAAGCTAAGTCAGAGCTAAAAGCCACGAAGAAACCTCGCCTCAGGAGCCTATTCTCTTGACCTGCTCCCGTCAGGAAGTGGCGTGCTGTTGCCTTGACGGCGAACTTGGTGTTTGCTACGAAGGACGCGCGGGATTGTATAGGACATTAAGCCGGCGTCGCTGTTGTTGTTGTTGTTGTTGTTGCTGTTGTTGCTGCTGCTGCTGCTGCTGCTTGAGCGCAGGACAATGCGCAGGACATCCGCTGGGAGGCGATCAATGCCAGAGAGAAATACGTGAGCTCCTTCGAGGCTCTGGCTCGCAGCGCCTTGCAGCGAGTGGCGGAAATCATGGCTTACAAGGCTTCCTTGGAGAGCGGAAAGACGGACATTGGCACCAAGGAGCTGCATGCTCAATGGGATGCGAGGTTCAAGAAGAGCAGCTCCAAGTTGAGCGTGCCGGTCTCTTTCAACTTCGTTGACCAGGCCGTCCGCCTGAACAACGGGCTGCTCTCCAAGCCGGTGGTGCGCAAGGCTCTGCTGGACTTCGAGTCCAGGTGGGGAAAAGCGTCGCCTTTGAATGTCCTGGAGACTTTGACGGCTCTGCAGAGCAAGGTCAAGGGAGACGTGGACATCGCCCTGTGGATCATTGCCTCCGTCGACGATCTGCTGTCCTGCAAGATCAAGAGCTTCAGGGATCTGTCGCCTCTCTTCCTCCTGGGCAACAAAGGGAGCAAAGGTGCCTTTGATATGTACATCGCGAAGAGAGGGATGGTGCTCTACCTGCTGAACACGCATCTCGCCGCCAACAATTTCCCGGCCGAAGACCTCAAAACACTCTCCGATATTTGCCTCGATCACGCGACCTTTCGCAAGCGGTGTGGAGGCGGCTCCTTGGTGGTGGACATTGGTTGGCAAGGCCTACTTCCGGAGCACGCTCGGAAGGCGAGCGCGGGGAATGTGCAGGGTCCTCCGTCCCTTGATTAGCATCTGCCTACTCGCACCCACTGTGCCGCAGTGCCGCGACCGCGCGGACCCGCGCAAGTGCCAACGTATCCCTCTTTCTCGACCCTGCGCGCACGCTGTTGCTACCGTTGTGTCTTCGTTGGCCCCGCCCCAAGCTTGATCACCGTTAGGCACCTTGCTTTTTGTGACACTGCCGCAGGCCATCAGCTTCTTCTCGCAGGCCGTCTATGGCGTCACGGTGGATGGAAGCCTGAAGACGGCTCTGAAAGCCAGCTCAGAGCCCAAAGAGCTGCTCGCATCATCGCCGTTCAAGGAGATGCTGGAGGAGATCCTGGCGTTGCTTGCTGCGCCGCCGCATGGAGGCCCTGCGAAGCTGGAGATCGTGCAGTCCACAGAGACTGACTCGATCGCGGTGGACGGACTGACGCTGGAAACATTGGCGGTGCCCGCGGAGGTGCTGCAGAAGCACGAGAGCTCCTTGACGACGTGGTTGACGACGATCCGCGAACACCAGTCGACGTTTGTGCGGCTCATCTCCCAGGGCGATGGCAGCGTTGGTCAGATTTCTGCCCTCCTGGATGGTTCCGTGGTGAAGCACCTCGATGCGGACCAACGACTGTTGGTCTTCTACGACACGAAATGTGCCGGCGAAGCTTCGACGCAGGCTCATGTTCGCCTTCCAGGCTTCAGCCACGAGCGCTTCAAGACGATGATGCAAGCAGTGCTGACTACCCGAAAGGACCTTCAAAGGGGCGCAGTGACAGCAGAACCAAGGTCTAGGGGGGCAGGGGTTTCGGCTGCTGGGTTGTTATAGGACTCCAAATGAAAGCACGACATGTCGCAGGATCCCGACAACCATGGACCGTGCAGCAGCGACATCTTCATGATCCTGGACGGTGGGCGGCAGATCGATTCCAAAATTACGAGCAATATTGTGAAGGCCGATGGCGACCCCTGGCCCAGTCGGCATAAGCAGCTCTTCACTATTGTTTACGACGAGAAGACTTACGACATGCGCAGGGAGCGCTCGCGGGGAATCGTTCAGCTCTCCGAGGGCGTCCACTGCTTCACTAGTGAGCCTTTGGTCTTGGAGAAGCGCCAGCGCTTGCATTTCTTCGGCAGTAACATGGCTGAGATCATCAACACAGTGCCTCTCCCGGTCTGGAAGGACCAGTGGCTCCTCGACCGGCCGACGAAGCTGAAGCTCTACACGCCAAACGGACGGCACCTCAGCAGTGGCCCCAATCCGGATCCGGATTTCGTGGCGCCCAAATTCGACAATGCGCAGGAGCCGGTGGCATGGCACAGCAATCACATCAAGCTCTATGAAGAGTTCTTGGTGTCCTATCAGTGCAAGGCCGTCGTGGATTTGACAACCTGCGACGAATCGTTTGCCCTTGCCTGCGTGCACATGAAGGTGCCTTATCTTGGCGTATGCTGGGGGGAAACGCACAAGGAACTCCTGGACAAGCAGCTTGGGAAGAGGATGTGGAGCGAATACCGCACAGAAGGCTCCGCCTTGTATCGTGCTGACATGTGCCCACCTCAGTTGTAAACTTCCGTGAGTCTGAGTGGTAGGTGGGAGCCGCGTGGTTGATCCAGTGAGACAGCTCTGCTATGCTCTGCTGCAGGGCGCAGTTGTTCACGAGCGAGGCAGACCAGGCCACCCAGCAGCTCCCGCGACATGGGGGGAAAAAGCGCACCAAGCCAGGAAACACCGCTGGCAATGCGCCCAGCGGCAGTGCGGATGTAGGCACGACAAGCGGCACCGTGCCAGCGGCACCGGGCAAGAAGCAGCGGAAGGGAAAGCAGCAATTGCAAGAGAAGCCAGCGGTGAATCCCAAGGCGGTCGCTCGTGCCAAGGATATCCTGGCCAGGTTGCACAAGGCACGTCAGGCTGCAGAGGAGTCGGATCCGCCAGGTCCTGGGGTAGAGGTTCTCGGCATGGAGGAGTAGGCGAAAAGTGCTACTCGGTGTGTTTTTATATCCATAATCAGTGCGGCCACGGCATGATAGCGGGAACTGTGCAAAGGCCTCCGCAGAGTTGTGGTGTGACGACTCATGCCAGCTAAGAATGCAAGATTGCTTTCAAGCGCAGTGCGAACCTCACCAACGCCACAGCTCGGCCTCTGGGAGGACAGATTCCAGTTTTGCCGGCTGCATCAGCCGGCCGATGTACAGACGCCGCTATACCGTGTGGTGGCCATCCTGAAACCTCACAGCATTGAGGCTGCTGTGCTCGAAGCGACTCGCAGCAAAATCAGACGCCGCTCGCTTTGTTGCAGAAAGTGGGGTCAGCAGAGTACAGTTCCGGCGCCAGAGCGCATGCAGGCTGTGTGCAATGCTGGTTTCGTGGCGCCCTGCTACCTGCCGTGATGCGATGCTTGTTGTAGCCTAACCCGATGCGCAGTTTCAGAGTCCAGCTGTAAATCCACACCCGACAGAACTGCACCAACCCCTCGCTGAGGCGTGGCCGTGAACCCTGTGAAGGCTGGAAGCGGAGTGGGGAGAGTGGAACGGTCCCGATTCAGTCGAGACGGTTGTTGCCAGTGATTGTCATTTGCTGTTGTACATGGGAAGGACACTGTGTGGCTCGAGGGCATTGATACGGAAGCTAGCTCAGTGCTTGACACAACACGTTGCTTGATAAAAGAGGGCTACTCGCATCTGATTGATCCCTTGTCTGTCAGCTTCCCCGGGCCTTGAAGCAGCGTCTGCTTGCCAGTTCTGCAAGCTTGACCTGGATGTTGAAGCGAGCCTGTGGCGTGGCGCAGGGACCCACTTCAAGAAAGCAAAGATCCCAGGCCAGGCAGACACCTGGCCAAGAGATTCCCCGCAGCCCCAGCGAGACCCGTCTCCGCGTGGGTTCTGCCTGCTCCGGCTGGTGTTCCGAGCTGTTTGCCCTAAGGAGGCTCGGGATACCTGCCGAAGCAAGTTTTGCCTCCGAGTGCGATGCGGCTGCCCGCTTGTTGTGCCAGGAATTGTGGAGCCACAGGTTCTTTCTGAACGATGCATGGGACGACGCATTGCTAGAGAGCACTCCTGATGTGGATTTGTTCTGCTCGGGCCCGCCTTGTCAGCCCTTCTCGCTGTCAGGACTCGCCTTGGGTGCAGCAGATGCTAGGGCTGGGCTTATGCTTCAGGTGTTGCTGTACATTGCCAGTCGCCGTCCTGGCTGCTTCATCATTGAAAATGTGGTTGGTCTGCCACTGCGCCATGCGGAATTCTATGATTGGATCGTGCAGTATCTGACAGACTTAAAAGATAAGCGTGGCCAGCCCTTGTACATCATCGATTGGACGGTCCTGAACGCAAGGCTACACTCAGGCCTCCCGCAGCACCGCGAGCGCGTTTTTCTTCTGGGAGTGCGTAGGGACCGACAGCGCGCACCCCTGCAGTGGCCTGCCCAGGCGTGGTTCGGGTGCTTCAGGGTGTCAGAAAATCATTGGAATATATGGAGTTTCCGCCTAGCCTTAAGGTTGCTACACCCTCGTCGCAGGTGCCTATGCGAAATCTCTCTGAGTTCCTGCTGCCCCCGACTTCACCACGTCCTGACATCGATCCGAGTTCCTTACCCAATGCCACGGCTGCACGCAATGTGACAAAGTTCGTGGAGACTCTGTGTTCACGTGGCGAGGATCCGATGCAGCCTGGCTACGTCGTGAACGTGGGCGGGAGCTACCCGCACTGGAACAAGGGCTATTGCCCATGCATCACTAGAAGTCGAGGTGCCTCTCGGGCATTCTACCTTCCTTGGCTAAGTCGTTCTTTGTCAGCACAGGAAATCACGATGTTGCAAGGTGTGCGACTCGGGGAACTACCAAGAGGCCTCCTCAGTGACACGCAGCTAGGGGGCCTAGCCGGCAACGCCATCCCCATTGATCTATTGGCGGCGGTCCTACGTAGCCTCCTCACGGCTGCGGGTTTTCTCTAGCCGCAGGATTCGACTTCAGCTGCATCAGAAAAAAAAGCTGCTGGTCACATTTACCAGCACCGACAAGAGTTGCATGTCGTCGTGAAACTGGTGAGATAGGAGTGCTGCGAAGCTCTCTCCCTTAACATCATTCTAGTCACACAAGCAACATTCAGGACCGAACCAGCTCCGTGCCGCATGCCGGGCAGAAGAACCACCCCGGACTGGCGGAACGCCCGCACTTCGTGCAGAACCGCTGACCTGCTTCCTGATCTGTACAGGCTTCTTTCGAGCACGAACTGATCCCCTCCGCAATGGCTGAGAAGGCCGAACGGCAGCGTGTCGCTGAACAAACCGCGCTCAAAGTAGATGTTGTCAAGCATTCTGCAGGATGTCCCCTGTTTTCCGGTGTGTCCGTGTGTGTTGTGCTGCCTTCTAGAATCGTTATTGTAGATGCGTCTGTTGCAGTTGTTCTTCAGTCATTCCTTCGCGGTCTCACTGAAACTGGCAGCATGACTCCGTCATGTGACAGGTTCTGTACAAGTTAGCCTATCCTTGCTCAGCTAGGATTCCGTAACATACCTCGTGCCACAGCTTGGGCAGAATTTCCAGTCCTCACATTTTTGAAACTTTCCGCAGGCGATGCAGAAAACCAGCCCCTCCGTGGACGGACCTGCTGCGGGTTCCTGCCTGGGATTCTCGGAAGCTACACCTGCAATCACCGGTGCGAACGCCTTCTGCACGGCTTCTCTTTGTAGATCTCGTCTAGGACAGACATAAACCTTCTCTATGATTCTCGGCGACGTAGCCGTGATTTGCCCAATCACTGTGGTCGTAGCACACTCGCTAAGGAGAGTACAATGTGACTTTTTGCCGCTGTGCGATGTCACACGCTGAAGGCTCACGTCTTGGAACGGGTGGAGCTGTCCTTCTCTGCGAGCACAAACTAGTTCTCTTGCCACCGCCTGCTGTGCGTCCACCAGAGCATAGTGATATGCCCGAGTTGTGATTGGTTTCGTGAAGTTACGACAACAGTGACCGCCAATCTTCTTGCCAGGAAAGAGGTACTGCAGCTCGAACGCTGACACGTCTGAGCCTTGGATGCGCTCATGGCTTTGCTTACTTAACTCCCAGAGGTGGAGGGGCAACTGGCTTTGGAGCAAGGGTTGGCAAGGTAGCTTCGATGGCAGCTGTGTGTCTAGCTTTGTATAGCGCTCATACCTGAAATTCTGTGCTGGTAGCTTTTGCTGATTCGTCTCCTCTTGGTTGATAGATTGATTGTCTGACCACGGAATGGCCACTGTTGGTTGTCGGCGCCTTGTAATGGCTCCTCGCTGATCCATTTCCGTAGCAGCGCAGCAAAGTCGAGGTGAAGTGGAACTTCATGTGGCGTCGTCTTCTTGTTCACGCGGGGCACTTGCAGGCTGGGCCTTTGACCACAATCTGTGATTCGTAGCCAGGAGGCACAGGCAACTGACGTAGCCTCTGCCCTTTCGCCGCACATGACACTTAGCAAAAACATGACAGCAGCCCATGGACATTGCCAGGCTAAGATTTTGAACAAGTGCGCGATCTGCTGCGCTGTTAATGCCTCGCGGCCTCCCCGCACTCTTTTGTCCTTGAGTAAGCATTTTTGTCGATGTTCCGCGCTGCAGAACCGAACTAGCTGTGCTGCCGCATGTACTTTCCGTGTCTTAGACGAGTCCACTGCTGCAGAACTCGCTGTGATGCCTTTGTTCTTGCAGCAAACATTCAGCCGTGTACATCCTTTGAAGGCGCAGATGATTTTCACCCGGCTTCCGGTTCCACGCTTCGGACCACGTGCAGGCTGGACTCCGACTCTGTGTCGCTTCGGCATGGCTGCGCAAGTCGATCCGGTTGCTTGAGCCTTGCGGCAAGTAAGTAGGGAAGTGCGCAGAAATAGGCATGCATTTTCTCGGGGCAAGCTAGTCAACCAGACTTCATAAGACAATTGCCATGCATAGCATGAAGACATCTGGTTCATGCTTGATTCATGTTCTTCCAGATGCTTCCGCGAGGGCACTTCTGAAACCAACCGTTTCCGAAGTCGCACTTCCGAAGTCTGGTTTCCCGTAGTTTGCATCTGGTGTGAATTCTCGTGCGCAGGCGACTGTCTGGACCCTGCCTCGGGTTCAGATCGGCAAAGAACCGGCCTCAGAAGCTTCGGTTTAGGCGTGAGAGAGTGCTTCGGAACCCCCCCCCCCGGCGCCCATTAGGCGCCTTCATTTATCGGACCACGAAGTTAAAAGCTAGCACTGTGCATTTGATTTACGGAAATTGCCGGCAAGAAAGCTCCCCCCCCCGACTTGACATCTGGTGGGAATTCTCTTGCGCAGGCAACACGTCGCCGATAAGGGTTGCAGGGTTGGGGGCTTAGGGTGGTTTTTCAGAAGGGCTACACGTTGCTAGCCGGTACCGGTTGAACTTCCCTATAATGACGTAGAAGTACTTGTTGCGTTACGTTGGGCAAACCAGCTGCCGGCAGGCCTTCAGTCGAAAAACACAACGCCGGCCGTGGCCTTGGCTGCTGCTAGTGCTACGGAAGTCTGGTGCACATACCGCAGCATGCACTGACATGACTACAGACTCACATACCGCAGTGGTTTCTACTGGCTTTTGGTTGAAAATTCAGAAGGGTTTAGGGAGAAGGGTCGTTTCAGGTGGTGTATTAAGAGGGAGAAGTCCTGTCACGAGGGCTGCTGGTTGCCACAAGTGCTTTCAGGGTTTGGCATGTGTTCGACATCATTTCGGCTGCGGTGCAGAATTGAAGAACAATCCCTCAGGCCTGCTGCGCTCTTCATCTGCAGCGGCCGCTGCCGTCACCTTGGCCCAGTGGTGCATGCAGCTGTGAGTACGGAGCATTCCGCGAGCATCGATGTGTGTGCCGCAGTGAAGTTCTGGTTTTCTGAGAACTGAGATGACACGAACAGACAAGTCCGACGTCTGCTTTCAAGAGATATGGAGTGCACACATTCCTGGGATAAGTTTGGGGCAGCCCTCGTTGAACAGCAGCAGCAGCAGTAGAGCACTAGCCCGCCCCTCCTCGAACAGCAGCAGCAGCAGCAGCAGCAGCAGTAGAGCAGTGCAGTAGCAACCGCCATGAAACGCGGAGGAGGGTGGACACCCGACGATCAGCGCCAGCGCTGGGACGGCGCATATCGCTCCGACGGACAGGAGAATGAGCGGAAGCGGCAGACACCGGCTGCGAAGGCCAAGTTGGAGGAGAGAAACGCAACGCTGGCGAGAAAGCTCAAGGAGGTGTCTGAGGAAGCCAAGGCACTTGACAGAGAGAGAGAGAGAGAGAGAGAGAGACATAGAGATAATATAACGACGCCAGGCTGAATGTTCCGAGCTGCGGCAAGAGCTCGCCGACTCTGAGGCGGGATGAAAGGGAGGGAGGGAGGGAGGGAGAGAGAGAGAGAGAGAGAGAGAGAGAGAGAGAGAGAGAGAGAGAGAGAGAGAGAGAGAGAGAGAGAGAGAGAGAGAGAGAGAGAGAGAGAGAGAGAGAGAAAGAGAGAGAGACCAGGCGGAGGTGCCAGCGCATGTCCGAGATGTGTCCCCATGTCAGGCCAAAGCAAAGCATAGTGGTGCAGAGGCAAGCTTGAAGCGAGCAGTGCCGAAGCTGGGTCTGACAGGAAAGAGAGCGAGAGAGAGAGAGATAGAGAGAGACCAGGAAGCCAGCCTCCTGCAGAAGCTTGAGATCTCAGAGCACTGGCGAATCTCCAACTTGACGGAGTGGCAGAGCGTGGAGAAAGAGAAGGCCAGTATAGCATCACTGATCCATCTGGGGACGACGCATGTGTTGAGGTTGCCGCAGAAAACAAGCTGCAGATCGTTCTGCAGTCTGAGGCCAGGAGAGAGAGAATAGCAGGTCATGCGTTCAGACAGAAGCAAGTGCTGATGCAGGAGAGCACGCGTGCAAAGCTTGTGAAGGCGGAGGCGAGAATCTCAGCACGCAATCAACTGAGTGCATGGACTCTAGAATCTTTTTGGCAGGTCAGCTGCAGCAAATACGAGATAATGAATGAGGTGCCAGCCTTATCAAATCGTTGTTTCTTCGTCCGAAGAAGGCACAGAAAATCCAGACTATCGTTGCAGGCATCCATCAGGCACGAGCTGCGGGAGGTGGAGGCCGCTAACAGACTTAACATGCCGTTCGACTGGAAGAGGGCCCATGATTCGTGAAGAGCCTCGGGCAGGATGGATGCAGAAAGAAGTTGGAGACAACAGAGGTCTCCTCGGTTTCTGAGTCTCCTTGTTTGATTTCGTTTTTTCTCGGCAGGACCAAGCCAGGCGAATGGCTGAAGCGAAGGAGGCGCTAAAGGGGCACGTTCTCAAACACTGTCCTTGCAGATACACTGACAGGACATCGTCTCCGAGCTCACCAAAGCTCAGGCGAGATCTCAGTAAGCAGCTTCAGGAAATCGTTGCCCTGCAAAATCTTTGGGCAGGAGCAAGCCAACCTGTACAAAGGCCTGGCAAGCTCCAAAGAGGCACAAGATTGACTAGATGAACTTTGTTTTGAGAGACATTGCTTGGTTCCAGGATCGATTAATCAACCTCGCGATTCAGAAGGACCAAAAGCAAGAAGACACATTCACCTCAGCCACCCCCGCGTCCGGTTTGCGAGGACCGGCTCATTGGCTCGCGCTCATTCTGGGAGGCCCGTCCGCTGACCAGGGAATCTCAGATTGAAGTTGCACCAGTCAATATCACTAGTCAGGACAGTGCCAAGAAGCAGGAAAAGCAGGCGATGGAGGCGAGGGGGTGCGGGCTTTCTCAACTTTATGAACGACCGTCTTGCGCAGGCCAAGGAGGAGCACAAGGAGATGAAGGTGGAGGCTGCTCAGCTGGCTTCTCGGCTGGAGCAGGCTGCTCCGGCTCAGCGGTCCTGAAATCCTCTCGGAAAGTTGATAACACGACAGGTGGAGAGGGAGGAGGCTCGGCTGCGGCACGCTGAGTCCGAGAAGGAGGCGAGGCAGGTTCAACTCATTCAGAACCAGCCAGGGACCGCGTTTGTTCTCCGGACAGGAGGCAGAAGCGGAGTGCGTGGCGAGAATGCTGAGGGTCGAGGCTAGGGAGCTGTGACGGAAAATTATCGACTTATGGAGAATTTGCTGGTTCTTGAGGGGTTGGCTGAGCGCATCGAGCAGCACGCCGCCAACACCCAGGTTTGGCTGGTGGATGCCGAGGCCCAGAAGTTGGACTGGGAAGCATGTTGCAAGCAACCTGGACAACAGGCGAGCGCAAGTGAATCGGCTCAGCAGTTGGAGGCGGGACTGTCGAGCAGACGTTTAACCAATCAATATCAAGACGCTGACAGGACACCGAACTTAGTATGGAGCTGAAGGTGCAGGCGCACCAGCACTGCCCATTTGTGCCGCATTTCAAAACAAACCCAGACTTCTCAGGCACTTCGCTCTGAGCTCTCTGCTATGGGAGTCAGACTGGAGGACTCCGAGGCGCGCGCACGTTGCCCCGCGAGGTCAAGTTCAGGCATCATTCAAGCGTCGAAACCTCTCGGGCAGGAAACTTTGATGCTGCTGCGAGCCAAGGACTCTTACCCACTCTATCTACATTCCGCATGATCATCCACTGCGCAGGAGCAGGCCTTGTCCAGGGCATCGCGATCCCCGACCTCGCCCGCTGAGGCACCAGTGGACAAGCCTTTCAACAATACAGTTGCTAGACCATAGACTGCCCAGCTAAGGAGAACATGGAGCCTACGGAAGTAGCGACCTCTCCGATTCTCAGCTGCAGCTTATAGCAGCGCCCGACGATAACTCGACGACATCGTGAAAGTTGTCTGGACCCAGGTCTACTTGACCGGTCACCCCAACAAGTGCGGCTTCTGGCTTTCGAGTCAACTTTGGAGTTCTGAGTGGGTGGCCGTGCTTGCTGCGCAAAGGGAAACTGGGATACGTGGCCATATATGTAATACACTGGCTTGTAACCCCTCCCCTGATGACGATCACAGAGTCCCTGCGCCCAGTCACAAACGTGACCTTAAATAGCATTCCTGATTCCTGCACACTAACTCCGCAGAATCCCAGAGCGTAGCAAGCTTGGCTGCCCCGACATCGCCCAGCTTGAAGCTTTCTTCGCCTGTGCAGCCAAAATGTGGGGCAGCAGATATCATGTTGCCATTGTTCTGCGCTGCTTTGCATTCCCACTGAAGAGTCACAGCGGGCAACCGGGATTTTCAGAATACATGGAAGCTTCTTTCTGCTGAGGCTGCATCATTGAATATGAGCAGCTGACCAGCAGCTTTCAAGGCTGGCCTAGGGTCACTGGAGTGCACCAAGCGAAGAATTCGGGCATTCAATGCTGATGCTTTATAGGCAACGAACAACATCAGTTGGAAAAGCATCAGCCGTCAGGACCCTGCTCTCGCTCTCGCAGCATCTGCCCCAGTGCACGCCTATATTGCATAACCCTGGTTTTGCTGCGCTATGAAGATGTGATGTTGCTGAGGCTGCAACGGCCAAGATGACAGGAAGCTCAGCTGGAGCCGAAGACCGACTCACAGAGAGTGAGACAGTGCGGGAGAGATGGAGAGAAAGAGTGAGGTTTGCGCCGTCGTGGCACATGCGCTTGTCGTTTGTTGTCGTCGTCTGCGCCATCACGGCACACTGACTTCGCCCTTTCAGGCATAATTCACCATCTGTCGGGTCCGAACACGATGCTCTTTCTCAAACTTCTCTCAATTGTTCTTTCTGCGCCATCACGGCACAGGCGTCGTCTCCGTCGTCTGCGCCGTCACGGCACATCTTTCGGGTCCTAACACGCGATGCTCTTACTCAAATTTCTCCCAATTGATGCTTCTGCGCCGTCGCGGCACATTCACTTGCTCTGCGCCATCACGGCGCACTGACTTTGCCCTTCGCAGGCATAGTTCACTTTCTTTCGGGTTCTAACACGCTGCTCTTTCTCAAACTTCTCCCGTCTGCGCCATCACGGCGCAATCCGTCGTCTGTCTTGTCGTCTGCGCCGTCACGGCACATGCGTCGTCGTCGATGCGCCATCACGGCGCAACTTAGCTCCGCGATCTTGTCCCCGCGCTTGCCTGCAAGGCCCTGAAAAGACACGGGGTTCGGGACTTTGGGGCCATGGGGCTGGAAGATCAATTACACATACAAAGTTAGAAAGTCTGGGACTGTAGGATGCTCGGTTTTAGGGTTTATATAGGGCATATGGGCTTTCTAGCTGCGTTGGCCTTAGTCTGAAATATGGTGCGTATGTGTGATGTCCGCGCATGTCCATGTGCGATGCACAAGCATGCTAACAAGAGTACTAGTACTCTTCTGCTATGACAAACAAATTCAAACCTAAAAATCAATATACAAGCTTTGCCGCAAGAAACTCAAAAGAGGTTTGCTCGACATGTTGTTGGTGAATCTACTCTACAACCCTTGTCTTGCTTTCGACCTAGGAGAAATCCGGTTGAAATCAAAGCTAAACAAACGGCACACGCAGTTTGTTTTAGTGGCTCTAGCTAGGCTCTTGGCTCGTGTTTTTATTCTGCGATATTTAAATTTCGAAGGCAAAAGTTTTCGTCGGTTTCAGAGCTTTTCTCAACACGCATAGAAGCTGTCTTTGTTTTCCAAAACACAGTTTTCCAGACAACTCGGGCACTAGTCGGGCTGTCGTTTCGTAGTGTTTCGTTGGCAATTTGCAATGATATCTAAAGTACCGCACGTGTACACCCCGCCCATGACTCAACTCCATCTTTTTCTTTCTCATCTGCCTGGAGCAGACCAACAACTTACCAATATCCTTTGAAGCCCAAGCCGCTACCTCATTCCTTCATTCCCGACTGAGCATCAGCAAGCATACTGGATCAGGGGGTGGATACACCGACATTGAAATTGACAACTTGCGAGCCTTCAGAGCTTCGGTGTCAGACTTCACAAACAGATTCCAAGCACAGACATTGACCCGACAAGATATGCCCTTGGATCAAACACTGGTGGTCAACCCGACAACTCCAGGAACATCCTGTCATCAACTCTCAACTCGTGCAACAATTCCCTCACAGTTCAAACGGCTTTGCTGCAATGAGCCTAGCATCACGCCATGATAAGCAGAATAATTTGAGGTGAAGCACCGGACAGAGGTAGTGGTACAAGTAACGCGAATCACGAGTTAAGAGTAGCATGCATCGAGGGGGTATGGAATTGAGGAACGTTGGGGGATGGCATCTTCTACAAAGTGGCTTTGCCCATCTTCAGTACATCAGGCTGTGGATCAATCGTCGAAGGGGGGCACGGCTGGACTTTTTGTGGAAAAGCATGCACGACGCCTTGTGCATGCATCATACGAAGGAATTGGTGATCAAAGTTGCAAGGTGCGCTGAGCGTTTGACGGCAACTTCGCTCGACGTTAGTGGGTGAGGGCTGTTGGTATTCTCGTTATATATGATGCTGAAGCCTTGGATGGTTGGGGCAAAGGTGAAGTGGGTCGTTGGTGCAACACGCAAAAACATGTTGCCAAGTTGGAAGAGGTAGAAAGTTGATGATAAGCTCGCTGGGAATTTCTTTGGCGATTTGCGGGCGTGGAGGATGAAGTGATATGCTGCAGGAGAAAGCAGTTGAAAAAAGAAGTTTTGGCGTCTGGAGTCTGCGGGTATGTGTGCGGCGCTATGCACCTGAATAGGCAGGGTCAGATCATGTCAGATCCAACTGTCCGTACATTCTACATCCGTCGCCTTTTCTACAACACATGGGCACCTCTTCGAGACCGAAGTCGTAGCCTTCCTCCTGGGCAGAAAAATTTTCAGCTGATTTGCTGGAAACCGCCGTCCTTGCAAGAAGTTCTGCTTCGAAAGCTAGATATTGAGTCAAGAAGTCTGCTGAACTGTTTACACTCAGCAGAAGCTAAATGATCGCCGTCCTCGTCTTCGCTCGCCGGTGGCTTCGTCGGCACAGGCGGCGCTGCCTGTGCCTGCAACTGATGGCTTCGGCATTCGTCAGCTGGCTGCCCGCAGACTGCCAAACGTGACGACCACACCTGCTCTGCTGCAAGCAGCCCAGTACGCTTTGCTGCAGACGGCGGCGCCGCCGTCCGACCGGCTGCTGGCAGTCTCTGTTGCATGACCTCTTGCACAGGGCCAAACCGGCCCGCAACACACGACAACGAGCGAGAGCGTTCCTGGGCATGGCGGCGGCGCATGTCTTGGAGCATCCCTTCAGATGACCTGCACATGCAAGGTCAAAAGAAGAGCACGCGCCTGTGTTCCCTGTGCCCTCTGAACCCGCCTCTCGGCGACAGAGGGATTCGACGTGGCCTCACAGCAAGGCGTCTCAAAGGCCCCAAAGGCCCCAACGAGAACCCCGGTTTACTACTCCTGCCCGAGCTCCTGACCGGCCGGACCGGCAAAGGCCGGTTCGGCTGGAGCATGCCGCGCATGGCATGGGAAATTGGGAATTTCTCGAGCTGTTTCTAGGATGGCACAAGTGCGCCCGCCTCACTACCGGGTTTTGGAGGACTCTCTTCGGAGCATGAAAGATTTCGTGAGGTGCTGGCAAGTGGGACCATCGGCCGCTCCGCCATTGCACGTTGAACTTCTTCTGCTCGGTGTGAGCTGGGAATGCTTTGAGATCTTTTGAGCTTTCGATGCAGGGTTGGCTCCCACAGTGCTGGCATTTCGGGCCAGATGGCTGCGAACCGCACAAATGACCTCTCTCAAGGAGCCCCGGTTCTCCAACAAGGCATCATACTTTCGACAACCGTCTGCACGAAAATCTGCTCTGCCATGATATGGCTCATGGGCAAGCTCCCACCTGTCAGGTGTGCAGACCAGGATGTCCACGACCTGCGAGATCTCCTGCCTCTGCCTCAGCTTGCAGAGTTAAAACAAGTTGTGAATTCCGCTGAACGGCACACTGTCCAGTAGCCAGGACTCCCATGACATCCGAATATCCGCCTACTAGAAAGAACCGAAACCCGCTCAGGTCAGGGCTTTCTCCAAGTCATGGAGCCACCATGGACCTAAGACTTGTGGCCGTTTCGGGGCCTTCTTCGGGGGTTTAGTTTAAGGAACTGAGCAGTTTACAACGAGTGAGTGAATGAGTGAGTGACTGAGTGACCGTCATTGCCCCCTCGACTTGGAGTTTGGCTCCCATATGGCAAAGGCCGGAGAACGCTGACGCTGCAGCAGCCAGGCAGAAGCAAAGCACGGGGCAAGCTGGTGTTCCAGCCGCAACGTAAAAAATCAAAAGTAACATAGGTGCTCCAGGAGCAGCAGCACCCGCTGGTGCTCCAGCACGCGACCCGCGGCGTGTGTTGGTCGTCACATGCGAGCCTACCCCTCGCGGTGACCTCCACAGACACAGGGTTTCAGCTAGTTTGGAGTTGAGGCCTCTGGGTTTGGGAAGCCCGGTGGCCGGCATGAAGGTTGCCAACGTTGTCTGAAACCACGGAACATGAAAACAAACCTTCCACACTGTGGCTGAGGCGAGCCGAACTCGACACCTTGGCTCAGGCAGGCAAGGGCTTGGGGCTTTGAGGGTTTTGGGGTTTGAGGGTTCCGGCTAGGTTTAGGGTTTAGAGCTAAGGGTCCAGAGTTTGGGGGTTTCGGGCTCAAGCTGTGGCAAATGCTGGCAAGTCTCTTTGCATGATGGCTGATCAACTTCAGGGTCCTGTAGGCCTGGCGCTGACCCAAGGAAGCCACAGCATCCCGAGGCCCCGAACAAAAATAGCGGACACGCACCTGCATCGCCAACTCCCGGGTCGGGCAGATCGCCTCGGCACGCACGTATCCACAGGTGTATTCTGTATTCACACATATCACATTCCTTTGTCGTAATTGTTCTACTCTCTATTTTCGCATGTGCCTGCACAAATTTTGATTGCTATGATGTCAAATTACCGAGGTTTTCAACAACACAAAATCAGCCGCGTTCCTGCCAGCCATGCATTGTTTCGTTCATGCCGTCGTGCCCTCACTCACTCACTCGCTCATTCAAAAATGCATCCATTTCAGAGTCCGCTTCGCGGGGTTCAACGTGGCTTGAAGCTACGACAGGCATTCAAATGGAAGGTCATCGAATTGCGTGAAGTTTGGGACCAAAGCTGCTGACTCCAAGTGCCAAGCGAGAGCCAGGGGACAGCCAGCCCGGTACGCCAAGCCGTAGTCCATGTTCCTGGCCTGCCGCAGCTCTTGGCAATCGCTTCCTACAAGCGCATTGGCCGAATAGCACCTGCGCCATCCCACGAATGATCTGCACCATCGGCAGCATGTACCTCGCAGAATCATAAGCAGGACTGAGCTGCCTGCAGGTCCCGCTTCATCTTCTCACTTTGACAGGTAAAGACATGGAAACCCCTCACCTTAAACCTAACACCCATCAAACTTCTTTACCCAGCCCGAAAACTCCAAGCCTTCTCCTTCTAACTCCCCGAAGCTTACACAGCCTTGGGATGCCTTGGGAATCTTTCTTGGATTGGGCCGCAAACATCAACCTGCATCGTGTTGCATCCACTATCCGAAAGAAGTCTGCTAAGTCCGTGCTTCCTTGGTTTGTCTTGATGCCCCCGCTGAAACCCTAAACCCTAATAGAATCCCGAAGCCCTGAAACCTCCAAACTTCTAATCCCCCAGCCCCGAAACCCAAAACTCGAACTCCATCTAAAACCCCCCAAACCCTAAACCCCCAAAACACCAAAACCGAAACTCCACCTCCCCCTCGCTCTCCCTCTCCCTTTCCGTCTTCCTCCGGGGCACGCGAGGCTCTTCCCCGATCCGGTCTCCGCAGCGATGACCTGAAGTCTGAGCATCTGAGCTCAGAAACAGGGAGGTCTCCCAGATCAACTGATGTATAACATAAGACAGTCTACTAAAGTGAATACTCTATGCTGCTGTAGATTGGTTTAAAGAAGCATTGGTTCAAATCATCTTATCTTATATTGATTTATGTTGAATAATACTATATTGCGCTACCTTTTATTAGTTTTTGATCACCCCACAGCACGTTTTACTATGTTACATGACATTTGATGTCACAGCAGTGCATCAAAATGCTGTGCAGCAGCGTCTTCTACTTTGTTTTATGATCTACAATACTTTTATTTCATTGCAGCACAGTACATTACATATTGTTGTCATCTGTTCTGCTGTACTCCATTATCCTCTACCATAGCCTACAATAGTACGTAACCCTCTGCAACCTAATCTACTTGGTCCTAACTTCTATTATCTTGCTTTGTATTCATCATGTTGTTTTATGTTGTATCATGCCGTGCTATACCACCAGGCTGCTGCACCAGACCGCACTACACCGCAAGATCCCGTACAATACTGTAGCATAATGTACTGCACCGTACTGTACAGAACTGCACGACGATGCCATATTGTTGAACTGTAAGTGTACTACTGTACAAAACATGATACGGCATGATATTGCATAACAACCGAGTATATTGTAATACAAACCGGTATAAATCACAAAACAGTATACAATGTCGCACAGAACACAATCCAATTTCATGCCGTGTGCTATGAAATGAAGTATGCTCTATGACAGTCTAACTGTAGTACTGTAACGTGACAGTAAACACCGGCGACTGAGCCTGCAAGCAGGAGAACTGCCCAAGAATCGCACAATGTTGTCACCGTTCAGGATATAGGGGATGGCTTCCTGCTGGACCTGAGACTTAAGCACAGGACTTACTCCTGTGAAGTGGTATAGATATATACATACATACATACATACATGCATACATACATACATCCATACATACATACATACCTACCTACATACATACATACATACTATAGATATATAATATATAACAGATGGCAGGGAACATGGAAAATCGTCCCGACACCACATGCTGCTAAGGTGTCGCTCAGGTTAAGAGGACTATAGCTCCCTTACACACGCTTCAAGGGGCAAGTCGCATGTTCTCTCTGTCAACATAAGCCAAAACTAGGATAGGGATATCCCATATAAACTACCTTACAAGGAAGCCCAACAAGATAGGGATATCCGGGTAAAATGCTTATGCTTATGTGCTGTTTTGGGTCCCTATGTCAGTTTCCTCGGTGCTGCCCCGGTGGCAGGCGCTGGATTCAGCAGCGCTGGAGCATCCGGGTTCTCACGCGGGTCAAGGCCTCGCCGGCGGAAGAGGATTTACTATACATTAGAGATTATGGTGTATTGTACTAAGCTCTAGTAAGTTATCTGGTACGACATTATGCTATGTGATAGATTTGTGATCTCAAAACCTGGATTTATCTGGCACCTATGAGGCAATGCATCTGAACTCGAGTTAGGATCAAGTTTTGCCCGAGAGCCAGCAGTTGCTGAGGCTATGCCTGACTGCGGGGTCTGATTTTTTAAGGGAATCTCAGGATCTCGCTTAAACTTTACAAGTAAAAGCTCTTGAGGGTCTTGGGCTTCGGGATCAGGGGTTGGGATTCTTCGCTAGGGTTTCAGGGCATGCGAGCGGGTTTAAGGCTTTGGGTTTTGTGGGGTTGGTTTGGGCACCTAGGACGCGCTTTGGGGTGCCCAGGGTACAGGTTCCAGGGCTTGGAGGCATGGATTTCTTGGGGTTTCAAGGGGGGTCCTTTAAAGGGGACTCTAAGCTCTACTACAAGGTCTCTATAAGGGTAGTATAAAAAAATAGGGCTTAAGGTTTAGCGGCTCAAGCGGTTCAGGGTCTTCGGGATCTTGAGCTTCCAGGTTCCAGGCGTTGACGCTATTTAAAGCTGAAGGGTTGGCGCTTGGCTTCGGAGACCGACGTTGGCCACCGGCTGAGCTGGCGACCGAGAGAGTTCGCAGCTCCTTCGATAACCTTCCAAGAGCAGTGATAACACAATACCAAGAGCCAACTTGGTCCCGGGGCAGGGTGACGGAAAGCTCTTGAAGCAGTGGGAAGTCACAGCGGTGCAAAGACTCCCAAGAAGCCGCTAAGTTGAAACCTGACTTTCTGACCCACGAGCAGCAGCTAGCAGCAGCTAGCAGCAGGATCCCTATGCTTCGAGTCTTGGAAGAGCTCAGAACAGGAACCGAAGAACCGGGGCGAACCGGGGCCCTGGGGCCCTGCCTCGGGCTTCAGCCCAAGCTCTGTGAAGTTCCTGAGTCGCTGGGACCCAACGAGGCGACAGAAGAGGGCTTAACATGGTTTGCAGGCTTTCGGGCCCTGGGTGCGGCTTCCGAGGGGGCACTGAAGTGGCCGAAGTTCAGGAAACCCTGGGGGCTGTCACCAAGATCGCGGCCCGGCCATGGGAAAGACCAGGTCTTTTGCTCGCTTCCTTCCCCTGTAGGTAGGCTTCTTTTGCTACAGGCACAGTTCCGGCTGTCTCAACGATCGAATTCGAAGCGCAAGATTGAGCCGCATAAAACTCTTAAGACTGGCCGTACTACTACGACGATACCGGCGATGACAACGACGGCGATGACGACGACGATGACGACGGCGACGACGACGACGACTACTACTGCTACGACGCTGGCATTGATACTTTACTTCCTAGGTCATTTCTAGTGATTCTAGTGATTGTTAAAGTTAACTGTATTTGGAGTTCTCTTGCTGATGTTGTCGCAGTTCTCATGCGCAGCACGAGGACTCTGGTTCCGGATCTTGCATTCCTCTTCGCAGCCGCACTACACATTGGCAGAACCTATGCCTATAGAACATGCATCCCTGGGATGATGCTCTACATTGCTACTAGTACGACTGTATGATTCGATATGAGCAGGAAGAGGAGGAGGAGGAGGAGGAGTCCTGCTACTGTCGCAGGAACAGGCATGACACCACGCAGAAAAGCAGTACAAGAATAATTGCGATGACAGCTGCTTCATCATACTCTGATCTTGCGATCGCAGGCAAGGGCAAAATGGAAGAGGCCTCCAGGTGCCGGCGAGATTGAACTCGACATCTGCCTCCATAGGCACCTTTGTCGCATGCTTGCTTTACTTCTGCAGAAGAGCAGAGCCTGAATGCACCTTGCCACCCTTCGACGCGAGGTAGTCTTGCGGCACGTCGCTCGCCCGGAAAATGATTTTCTGGCACAGCAAACAAGCAAATTGATGAAGGCAGGGCCGTGCGTGATCCATCCTGCCATCGCCTCGGGTGGCGAGCCACAGAGCAAGTATCCGAAGCCCCGGTGAGGTAGCCAGTCGCACACCTAGGGGCTTACAGATGCTCAAAACTTCCGGCGTGCAAGGCTCCGGTCCGGTCTCCGGCCTTTCCGATGCCCCGCTTCTCGTCGAAGTAAGGTCTACCAAAGCGCCTTCGAAGAGGCAGATCACTTCGGCACGACCGAAGGCACGGCCGAAGGAACTGCAAGGAATCCCAAAGTCTAAGATATTACTATTTGTTTTAATGATAACGATATACTGAACATAATTAAAAACTAGTAATACTAGTTCTAACAATCCAGCCAAGCGCCTTTCCATCTCCAGGCCCTGTTGAAGGACTGTTGCCTGGAAAAGGCTTGGTCCAGGCTTGGGAACCCCGACGCCCCGTATTGGCTGCAGGCCTCCATCGGCCGGTTCTTCCATTCCTCGACCTCCTCCATGACCTAACATGCCGGCGTTCTTCCGGGAGCATCTTCGACAAGATCCAAGAATTAGACATGCAACTGCAACGTTGCTAATTCGGTGTGTGTGTGTGTGTGTGTGAGCATGCGATCAAACAATCCTGAATTCAAACCCTCAGGACGGCACGGTTAACGCGCGACTACCCTTCGCACGACAGAGAGTGCGAGAGCCTTGCAAGGCAAGCATGCACTTACGACTTCAGATCGAAGGTCTTCCATTTACCCCTGCTGGTGCGATATCAGGAAGTCCGGCCTCGTGCCGGGCCCGTTCGATGACCTGAAGAGCATGAACAACGGAAGACGTGCCCGCATCGTCTTCACCGCGCGTCGCCTCTCACAGCCCTGCATGCGAAAGCCACGGCCTTAGAAAGCCAGACTGTCGCAGGAACCCATGCACAGCACTGCATAACCTCGAGGGCCACACCAAAATCACGGTCGCACATGGTGCAGCCGTCCTTGCCTTTACAGAGATGCCATGACCTGCATTGCCCCTTGAGCCCTGGGCTCCCAACCTGCGCCTGATCACCAAGCGGAGGCTCGAGATTCCTCGCAGGCAGGCTGAAGCTTTAGGGCAGGGTTGTTTCGTTCTTTGCGAACGTCTAGAACGCAAATACGTTGAAATCCGCTTTTCGAGCGTAGCATGAGAAACATCATGTCAAAAGGAATTACAGGCATCTAAGCGAGGAAGCTCAGAACCGCGTGAAGCCTTGCCGGAACATGGTATGCAGCCCGCGCAGACACACTGGCTGCAGAAGGGGCCAGCAGGATGGTCGCCATCCCTACGCAAAGGATGTGTTCTGCTGAAACGTGGCTGAACTTTGGGCATCTTCATGTTGTATTCGATTCAGCAACCATAGAGCACGAACAGTCCTTCAAGTCGCTACTTTTATCTTCCGCATTATCTTAGTCCTCTTTTTGTTGTCGTTGTTGTCTCGTGGCTGCTGTGGCTTCTTGTTCCGGGGTAAGGGCTTGTTCCACTTATTGTCGCTATAGTGACTGGTCTGCTCACACATCATCAGGCTACAATTAATTAATCGGGGTAAAAAATTGACGGTGCTGCTCCACCTCAGCTCTCATGCCGCAAGCTGCAGGCCCAACCAACTGCGAATTGATGGGAGCTGCAAGCTGAAACAGAACAGCTTACAAGGCTTCGCTGCTTCGTTTTGATTCATCACATGGACATGTCAAGCTACATGTTGGCGTCAGAACTTGCATGTCTATGCCAAGCATTTGTCCGGCATGTCTCAGCGCGAGTTTCGCTCCGAGATGGCAGCACAGCAGCAAGCCGGTGTGAAACGCTTCAGCAGACATAGGGATTCCCCCGTTGAGACTTCGAGAAACAACACACTGCACAACGAGATCCCGAAACTTGGACTAAGTCTCGAACATCGAACTCTCGAACTCCAAGTCTGAAGTCTGAAGGTCACTCAAGGTTCAGAGTTTAGACATGGGGTCAAGTCAGGTCTTGGCAGCTCTTGGTTCGAGTCGGCTCGAGTCCCGCAGACCACGTGCAGTGACATGTCCAACATGCGGTAGAAAATCTTCAATCCATTGTCCGTCGCCATTCATGGTGACTTAAAAGTCACCCGGGGTATCCTCGGGTGGACAAGCACACGACTAGCCAGCATGCAGGCGCACGTCAGGTGACTCAAGCGGCAGGGTCGTGGGATGCGGGAGCTACATGAAGGATTCACTTATTCTTTTCGGCTTCCAGTACCCGCCAGACGCTCGAGGTCAAGTACCAATTTCTCGGAGTCAGGCCGACCATCGCGGTGTGTACCAGAAGGCCACGCAGTTGGCCAGGATTCCGTGGTCATAGGGGTTCCTGCGCATGCCCATCACAGCCGATCCCGCGAATAACACGCTCAAGCAAGACCTTCAACCACAAGAACAATCAAAAGCCAGCCCATGGACAGCACTATGACAGTGACGAAGACTACCATGCAAAACGCAGCCAAGCACGTGCCCTGAGCGGCATGATCTATGTCGACTCCAAACACTGTCTCTTCCACTTCTACACCACGATGAAAACGACAGCACCAGCATGAGGAAGATATTGCTGCTACTTCCAGCCGCTATGCCACTGCAGGTACTTACAACTCGCACCCCTTCTCCTCAAATCGCCATAATGCAACATTGAGCTGTGTATAAAATGTGGTGCTGATGTTTTTCTTATGGCAATAGTTTGACGGTTTCATTGTCGCCGCTGCTGCTGCGGCTGGTGCTGCTGGTACGGCTGTTGTTGGCACGGCTGTTGCTAGTGCTGCTGTTGCTGGAGCGGCTGTTCTTGCTGATGCTGCACTGTCCTCATGGCTATGGCTGTGGTGGCTGTGGGGGTGGCGACTGCTCTGCAAGGATAATAATTAAAGCACTGGCATGCAACATTTGACTTGGGGGACCAGTCTTGCGTCTATCGTCACATCACACACTCAGGCAGCGTTTGTGTTGAGCATGCCTGACTCAGGCATGCTCAACACAAACATGAGGATCGGCCCACCTCGAAGGATCATAAACAAATGCCCCCGCGTCAAAGAGTTCGTTGTACCTGGCCACATCCCATGCTCCGAATCACACCCCATGCGACCTCTGTGTTCAACTCATTGCATGGTTTTGCAGGAAGGCAAGGCGCTCCGAGGCATCGTCGATATCGCCGACCGGTATCGAGTCCCCCAAACTGCAGTCGGCCTCAGCAAAAGAAACCAAGCTCGCACCACGACACACAGATCCTGCCAACGCACGAGAGCAGAACGAGGCTGCTGCCACCCAGTATATGCGGGTTTTCCAACCGTGGCCAAGTTCATTCCTCCAAGCATTCAGCTTGACATGGCGCGCACGCACTGGCGCTGGCACAAGTCCTTGCGATGAGACCGCGATGGATATCGGATGGGCCTCACCAGCTGCTTCACTCGAGAAAAGGAGCCCTTATGCTATTCACTCGCCAGGATCCGGGCAAGACAATGTAAAGGAGGATGGCGGAATATGCCGCATGCAGCCTTCTTACAGTTACGGGCAACATTGGGTGTGGCCTGAGGGCATGCGCGCAGATGCGCTGACACAATCGCAACAGGCACACCTCGATCACAATGTGTTCCTCGTCAGCAGGAACGGGCGACACAGTCGAGCAAAGCAAAAGTATGCAAGAGCCTGCTGGAAGAAGGCTACCATCAAGTAGCCGTCCAAAAGCAGCCCCAACCTAGGCGTGAGTTGAGCGGGACTGTGTCGCGGCTTCCGTCGTGGTCTCCCAGTGCTTAGACACGATCCATCAGGCATCCGAAATCACAACCCCGAGCTACCTGCAACTTCCAGGCTGCTTTTGTTAAGATATTTGGCTCTGCTTCTTGAGGTCACCGCATGCCCATGGTCGCGAGGCCTGGAGCGGGACGTTACAGATGCTCAAAAACAGCAAACGCCGGAAACTCGCTACGGATCGTACCAGAAGGCGTGCGCTGCCCGACATGCACCGAGGCCCCCGGCCAAAGATCATGAGGATGAACGCGCGGTGGTTGAAAAGGCCTGAGTCATTCAACTGGTGCTTCTTGCCAGCTCCTGAAATCCTGGCATGCTCTTAGAGGGCATGCACGTCTCGCACGAAGTCTCAGGCACCCTGCCTATCGCGTTGTTAATCCACTTACCTGGTGCGAACAGGGGTGACAAGACTGCGACGGCACACAAAGAAGAAGGACTAACCACCACACGGAGAACAGAGAAGAGAGAGGGGATGAGCGTCTGCGGCACCGCCAGTTCTATACAAATAAACACAGAGAAGTGGGAGGAAGAGAGGAGGAAGGGATAGGAAGGCAAGACATTGGCCGACGATTCCTGCATTTTGCGCTGTCCACAAATGCCTCTTCTTGCAATCCCAGCTTCAGTAGTGGTCGTGCCTCCGGATTGGCCTGGCATACATCCACGACCTCAGCCAAAGCTAACGTTTGCGAATTGCGATCCTCGGGCTGATGCAATGAAAACTCGAGAAAGAGAGCCTCGGGCTTGTGGGACCGTGCTGGTCCCGTGGAACCCTTCAAGCAGGTAGAGTTTGAAGGCTCTCAAGTGGACAGCATGCAACAGGCGCTTCCTCTTTGACGAGAGTGCGCGAAAAAGCGCATCGTGGAAGACAAGGCCGCCCCCGCCCCCCCCTCCAAATTTACACGACCCCCCCCCCCCCCCCCCCAAATTACACGACCCCCTCCCCCCCCCACCCCCCCAAACCCTAGGGTCCTATAGTAGAAGCCAAAAGTTGGAACATCATTATCCTCATGTCCTTAACTTAAGGTTAAAAGGGATCCCAGCACTAATCACCCTAAATCCATGTTCCAACTTTCTGGGATGCACTATAGACACTGTTATGGGTGGATACTTCCCTATATCATAATACTAGCTCCCAACAAAGAGACCTTACATTCTACCCTAAACCCTAAACCCCAAACTGTACAGGTACTTTGGACCCTTTGGGGGGATTTGGGGGGTATTTAAGGGTCTGGAGACCCAGAGACACAAGCAATCCAGGGTTGAGAGACCCCAAAGATTAGGGTTTAGGGGTTAGAGGTTAGGGGTTAGGGGTAAGGGTTTTTGGTTTAACGCTTAGGGGTTAGGGTTTAGGGTTTAGGGGCTTGACGAAGGTCCTCTTGGAGGTTCATGGGTAATCATAGTAAATGAAATTATAAATAGGGTAACTGTAGATATAACCTTCTTGGAGGTTCATGATGAGTCAGAAGTGGGGTTATACATAAGAGACTTGTAATCCAACTTATAACTATACGTGAGCCTCCAAGTTTCAACATCATTGACTGAAGGCAATTCTCGAATCATAGTCGGGCACTAGGCTGATTTCAGTTCGAGTACTCCCGCCAAGTAGTAATGTTGAATAATACATGCAATATAGATGTACAAGGCTCTTAATAGCACAAGTATCATAGACTGTTACTTAGGGCAGGGGGGGTTGGAAGCGGGGGGAGGGGGGCGGAGGGGGAGGGGAGGGGGGGAGGTGGGGGAGGGGGAAGGCCTGGCAGAACGCACTATCTCTGACCTGCCCCGGCTGCGTACCTAGCACGCATAGCTTCCTTTACTTCCTTGATGCCTTTGCTGCAGGGCCCGCACTACTTAGGAAGGGACGTCACAAAGGGCCATCACGGGCCACCGAAACAATAAATGAAACCCAAACCCTGAGCAAGCTCCTGGCCTCAGATTAAAAGTGTTTTGGATCACGTTGCTGGTGACAGGTCTACGTGTCGGCCACGTGCAATTTTCCAGAAGTTCGTGAGGCTTGCTCACGGACATCTTGGACAGCCCGCTTTGCCAAGCATGCTCACCTGATGCCTCAGATTCGTTTGCGCCAACCCCCCTGGTGCGCCAGGCACAAACAATTAAACGTCCCCCAGACCTACTTGCTTCTCTCTGGATTGGGGCACCACATGGAGAAGAAGGTGGAGGCCGCAACTCCGAAAGCCGGAACCTGGCACAGCGTGGACCGCGACATGCGGCGATGTAGACTTGTGACACGCAAGAATATGGTGCCCAGGACCTGCGGGAGCTGCAGAAGGCGCAGCCTTGAAGAGAGATTTCCCTGCAAAGTACCATGGCTCCGCAGGCTCCGCAGTCGAGGCCGGAGCTGGAAGGCGAAGACGCACAGAGCTCCGAGTAGCTCGGAGCAAGGAAGGACAGCCAGGGCTTCTGCCAAATTTCCCTTTGCAAGGCCCCTGTCGTGGACACCGTGAAGACCTGGAAGCCACGGACGGGACATGACGAGAGGCGGCACGCTGTACAGATGCAATCCCAAGTGC